CGTATGTGAAAATCAAATACTGTCAGGCAAGTTTTGGCTTACTTTTGACTGAAAGAATAAAATACAATTGTCTCAAGGTAAACTAACCTTTTTCCTACCACAGATTGTTTTTTCCTTTTGGTTGGTTGGTTAATCTCAAGTGCTTTGAAGCACAGTTTCAAAAGAACTTAACAAAACATAAAATAAGCTTTCCCTAGCTTTACATTTTAGTTGACTTTACTTGTAGAACTTTGTGCTTTTAATAATATGTATTTGAACTTTAAATTTTTCTGTTCTAGTCTTCTCGGCTCTATGTTCCCTCTGCCCCGAGTTCTGTTTGCCATGGCACGAGATGGTTTACTGTTTAGGTTTCTTGCCAAAGTGAGTAAGAGGCAGACACCAGTTGCTGCCACTTTGACAGCAGGGGTCATCTCTGGTAAGCTCTAAAAACATAGGTTTCTACAAACTCGGATTTGAACCTTGTATGCACGTGCATGGATGATAAGAAGGGCCTGCTTAACTTCTCATGCATGTAAGTTGGGAATAAAATTGCTGACTAATTGAAGGGCATAAGAATTCTAAATCATGGCAATCGTGGTGACGGTGATGTCCTTAATGTCAATGAACTTCCAGCTTTTTCTGCATTCTAAGTTTGGCTTCTCTTACATTACAGACAAAACAGTTATTTACTTTGGGGCATCCAGAATAAAACTTTCTTTATAACTCAGTCATTGGACTCTATTGTGTGGTCTGAGGCTTGGTTATAGGACATTTTAGTTCAAGATTAAAATATTTTATTGTTTAGAAATACTAATGGGGAATATTTTTTATTCTTGGATATAAAAAAATAAATTCAGTAAGCCAGCTATAAAATGGTTTTAAAAAATAACATTTTATACAATCTTAGCCCATAAAGGGCACTAATCCATTTTGGTACATATGTTTTGCAAGGGTCATTGTGCATGTGTGTATGTACACATGCACAGAATGCATCCAAGCAATATTTCCAGAAGATGTTAGCATTTAGTATGCAAATTTCCACACTTCAAAGTGGACATATTAACTTTATTTTTTAACTCTTTCATTGTTGTCAAGATGTGTATCTTTTGTATTGCTTAATGTATCTGGAACACAAATTATACCTACTGATTTCAATGGAATGTCACCTTTGCATGGAAAAGTGAGGGTAGGCTCGCTCAAAATGATAAAGACCAAAGGATTCAGATAAGCATAAACACGTATTTACTATTTATCATACTGTTGCATCTATAAGCCATGATCATGGTTGGGACCCTTTTGTTCTAACACAGGGGTGGGCAGTAAAAAACAGCAGCCTGCCAGGGTTAGTCCCCGAAGGGCTGCCACCATTGTATTTATCTGAGCCTCTGCAAGTATAGGACAATCCCAGCGTGTTTTTGGCCATCGATGGCTGTTTGTGGCCAATGCGAGTGACGGGAAGTGACGCGAACCAGAACACTGCTTCCCACCGCTCCCAATGGCTGCAAATAGTGATCTGTGGCCAACGAGAGCTGCGATTGCCCAATACCTGCAGAGACTCAGGTAAACAGAAGTGGGGGACCAACAGGGACTAATCCTGGCAGATTGAATCCAATCCACGGGTTGGTATTTGCCCACCTCTGTTCTAGCAGTTTTACAAACATATAAGAAGCCATGGTCATTCCCTAAATAGTTCATAACCTAAACATTGACCTTAATTCATCTTTTTTGTATGTCATAATACAAATATATAATGCAGAATTACTCTTTATAAAGAGACAATCTGAATTTCCAGATTGCTTTTATGTTGTAACAGGTCTTTTTTCTGTAATATGATCAAAAGTGATTTTTTTTTAGTGATGCAGGGGAAGGAAAAATAATTTTGCAAGCTGCGTAAACTGATGAATGCAAATATGCAGTCTTGATTCCAGCAAGCACAAGTTTAGTAATTCAAAGCCAGTTCTGAGGGGTAATGGTATGGGTAGGTAGTTTATCTTAACAGAAAAAAGTTTTTTGATATAGCAGGTAACTTGTTTCCTGTTTTTAAGAAAACATGTATCTAGTATCTCGTAGCCTTAAATTACATTAAGCAAGTTTGCTAGGTCTGTTAAAACGAACGCAGCATGAAAGTAATTTATATTCCTATTAAATCATAGCGTGGATAATCTCACAGTTTTAAACAGTGTTAAGATTGGATTTTGATTTATGTTATTAAGTCAAAACTACTGTTGATACCAAACATAATTACATAAAATATAATATTACGTATAATAATTATGATGATGAAATTCTGCAGACAGTGAAATGGTGGGCTCATAGCCAATTATACTTAAACAAAGGCAGCAGGCTAATGAGAGGTATTTCCAGGATTTGTTATGCGGCATACCTCCCTGACTTATATTTGCACATTAAAGCAACAATGTGAGATGTGCATCTACAATGAATTAACAAAGATAAATATTTGTCAGAGATGATCTAGATGATGGCTGTTCCTGCCATGAGTGTTGTGGACTGGACATGATGACCTCTTGAGGTCCCTTCCAGTTCTAGTATTCTGTGATTCTGTAATTATAGTTTACAACTATTTTGTTCCAGGTTTGGCTTCTCTTCTGATAAGTGAAGTTGAGCAAGTGTGGATTATATAAAAGATTTACAGTTGTTTGCAATTTTTAATCTACTGAGGAAAAAATCATCTACTAGAACTATATGTATTAAGTTTTTAAAATACAAAATATAAGCTTTTGTCCATTTTGCCAATATTTTTCTTCAAGCATATATTTTCTATTTTTAACACTGTGTAAAATGAGATTATCTTTTTGTGGATACTTTGTGTGCTTTAAAGCTCAACATCCTGTAAACTCCGCATGAGCTTTTCATATCAAAGGGAAATATGGAGATTGCATTGGATAGTATAAATATACTTACTTACCTTGCCAAAATGAATGTATGTCCTACATTTAAGGTACTAACAATATTAAAAATGTACTACATTCTGCCTTGTCACTAATAGTGTAACCAGAAATTTGAGATATACTGTATAAATATTAATGTGGCTAAACTTCAAAAGCAGATTCTTTTTCAAAAGTGTATTGGCTGTAAAGTCATGCATCTTGTTGATCACAAATAAACCTATAAGTAAAAAGCTATATTTTAAATATAATAATATACTACAGTTAGCTAGAGTATGACAAAATTAATTTGTAATGTGCAGGAACACTTTCAAGACTGGAACGATTAAAATTAAATCTAATTCCTTTGTTTTCATTTACATACATATACACATTCAGCTGTTCCTTAGTTCTGCCTGTCAGGGTACGTCTAGACTACAGGGTTTTGTCGACAGAAGTTTTGTCGACAGATACTGTCGACAAAGCTTCTGTCGACAAAGAGCATCTACACTACATTCAGTTCTGTCGACAAAGCAAGCTGCTTTGTCGACATGGCAGTGTAGATGCAAGGACAGTTTACACGCAATAACGCTTTCTGTCGACAGAACTCTGTCGACAGAATGCGTTATGCCTCGTGAAATGAGGTTTACCAGCGTCGACAAAACTGCTGAGATCTGTCGACGTTATGTCGACAGAACTCAGTGGTAGTGTAGACGCTGGGATAGTTTTTTGTGATGTAGTCTAGACATACCCTCAGAGAGGGTGTCTGAGCACTCTGGGCAGTGAAATTTGAGATGTCTTCTCACAGAATGCTTCATAATTTTTGTACATACCCTCCTGCTTACAAGACTAATGAATGTAAGGTGCTTCTGTGCTTATTAAGGAAATTACTTTCTTTGGTTAGTTATTAGCCCAGCAGATATTTTTGGTAATGCACTTTTATTTTGGGGAATTAATCTGCTCTGTTTTTCTTCATGATCAAGAAGACAGGTGTGAGTGTGTGTGTATTTAATGTATATAAAATCAAGAGGATGAGGAGGTGTATGAGG